CGAGTCTTGCAGACAAGCAGAATTTAGTCACATGAAGAAAGGGGAAGAGAATATTCCAGACAGAACGTACAGCATGTACAAAGGCACAAAGGTATAAAAGCTTGATACCAAAAAGCTGCAAGTGGCTCCAGTGTAAATTTGGGGATGGGGGCGGGAGAGTCAAGCAGGAGATGAACACTAGAAAGACTAGGTGGTGGCCAAATCACAGAGGGCCTGGGAGACCATGATAAATGGTTTAAGCTATCGGGAGACAGGGATGGCTTTGAAACGGGAGGGACATAAAAAGACTTGCACTTTAGAAAGATCACTCTCGCAGCTGTGTGGACAATGGATTCGGAAAAGGAGGAAAGCACGAATGGGGTAAGAAAGCTCTTGCAGTGGAAGGTGAGCTTTGTGAGGGGAGAGACTGTGTGCTTCAGTCCTTCCTTACCGTCCACATTTAGGCACTCAGAGGCACTCAACAGATAGGGTTGAGTTAACAGTCTTGGAAAGAAGTGACTAAAACAAAAAAGGCTGGGCTATGGCTAATGATATTAAGGTTGTCTCTGAGCTTACAAATTGGACCATGAAGGATGGAAACGAGGATAGGTACTGAGGGATGGGGGGTTGATGTGAGCTGGTGGTGGGGCTAAGAGTAGAAAGATAAAAAACAGACCAAGGCTTTCTGGTGTCCAAGATGACCAACCTCGATTCCAGGTGGTGGATAACCTGTAGTTCTGGGCGCAGATTCGCTTGGCCAGAGAAGGATGCTTGAGAATCTGGGATTTACACAGCTGTATCAGGCTGTCCACAATGACTGGGCTTGGAGAAGAGAAGAGACACTTGGAGATATAAAGCAACAGGTTGACTCCAAGATCCACCAAATGGAAATCTTATTGATTCAGGGGACACTTACCAGTAGGTCTCTCGTTTGGGGATGTCTTCAGTGGAGTGCCAGAGACGGGCATGAGAGATCACGTTCAGAACACGTTCATCTTGGTTCTCTATGTGGTTCCTTGGATCCTCAACAAGGCCAAGCACTTTCTTGGGAAGGCCTTCTATTAACTTGGCCTTGGTAAGCCAGAGAGCCTGCTTTACACCTTTGGGGTAACCAGTCACAAAAAACAAAAACAAGACGATGATTCAGGAAGAGACGCTTAAGCCTGCAGGCAGCATCTTAGGGAAAAGGCTGCCTCGAGAAAGACGGGATTTGTTCTGCGACATCTAAAGGGTAAGAACTAAAAACAGCGAAGCTAGGACAGCCCAATTTCAACTCAACCTCAAGAATGACCGCCTACTTAAGGATGGTTAACAGTTGATTACTGAGGCCGTGAGTGCCTGCCACGGGAGGAATTCAAAGATGGATGAGATCATAAGGCTGAATCTTGCAGGCAAGGGTCTGTCTGCTGGCTGCAGGGTTCAGACAGACCCTGGACTATGGAACTAGATCACTGGATCCCAATCTTTCAGAACCTAGGTCTCTTCTACTAACCCACACCCCAGCCTCTGGAAAAGCTCCTGTACACCATATATACCTCATTTATCAGGTGTAGGCTAAGCAGCCTACAGAAGCCCAAGCTGTTTTACCAAGGGAAAGCAGCTTTTGGAAATAATGGAAATAACTTTTGGATCATGAATAACTTGAGAAGCCCTGAGTTTGGGAGCACTTAGATAATTTTTCACATCTCATCTAACCCTGAGATTCTATAATGAACGATTTTATAAGCAGATTTTTGTATGAAGCCCTAAGAAACATACTGTTGAATTTGTCAAAAGGATCATGCTGACGATGTTCTATTTACTACAGAGGGCCCTCTGTGAAACCTTCTGAAGCCCTCCCTGGCCTTCGCACAGGAAGGAGGGGCTTTTCCTGGGTCCAGGACTGTTTCATCTTTCAGACACGGTGAACTGTGTAACTGAAAATGTTCTTCTCCATACCAAGGGTCAACAAACTCTCTCCTAAAGGGCTAGATAAAAACTATTTTCAGCTTCCGAGCCCTACAGTCTCTACCACACTTACTCAACTCTGCCACTGCAGCACAAGAGCAGCCACAGGCAACAAGGAAACGAGTGGGCATGGCTGTGTTCTAATAAAACTATTTACAGGCAACTGGCCTAGTCAGCTGACCCCATCTCTGCACCATTTGTTGACTGCCAGCAAGCCGAGAGCCCCTTTCGCAAGCAGTACCTCAGAAGGGATGTTTTTGTACTCTCCTCATGGTTTTCTTTTTCCTTTGTGCTGATTTCCTCACCTATCTAGTTTTAATTTAACATAGCTGTGTTGTAAAATTTCTGTAAGATGCCCCAAATACTTTTCAGGAAAAGACAGAGTACAAACAAACCAAAGTAGATGGGATTCAGACTGCTTAGTCTTCAAATATCAAGGAGCCTCGGCTCCTCTCAGCGGGACAGGCTGTGGTGCCAGGCAAAACTCCCTTGCTTCACTTCCCCAGACCCGGCTTCCCGAAGGGAGGGACAGGCCAGACCCAGCGCCCTGAGTCCTGCATTAAAGCCCACACCCCAGTCCTCCACCCTCAGATCAAAGTGAATGCTGTATTCCTTTCAGTGACTGTGCCCACAAGTTGGCAGAGGGTTAGTGACTGCTTTGGTTGGCAGGCTATCCATCCTGGCTGGAAAAACACCACTATGACTCAGAGACACATCTTCCTTTGAAAAGCTATGTCTAGGATTAAAAGGAGCCATGACACTTTGGGGAAGACACCCTCAGGCAATTTCTTTTGAGGTAATAAATGAAAGGCAATGAGACTTTTCACTTTAAGGCTTATAAGACATCGGAAACACAAACAATTAGAAACGTAACTTCCGGATTTTGTGGTGCAGCAGAAAAAATCCTGGACTAGGAGCTGGCTAATCTGAGTTTTAGTCCTGACACTGCCATTGTTCCTTAAACTTGAAAATAGATAAAATATTAAGATTTTATGGTTCTAGTATATGAATAATATGTAATATTTAGAGCTGCCATTTACTGAGCATCACCATCTACCTTGTGCCAGGGGCTTTATCTATAAGTTGGATGGTATTTTATGGAATGGAGGATGAAGAGAGGAATTTGCTTCAAGCCACATTCTTTGTAAGTGATGGGGCTGGGAGGAGAACCTGAGTCTATCGACCCTAAAGCCCACGATCTCTCCATTACCCCAACCTGCTTCTCTGGCCCTGTATGTTGCAGGGCTTTATTATAGCCTTTACAGAATCTCTCTGCACAGGGTATGTTTTCAGCCTAGTCAAACGAGTATAAGTCAAATGAGTGTGATCTTAACTTCTAAAATACTGCTAATGCATTCATCCACATGGTAACGTTACCAGGGTCACTCAAGGGTGCCAAGTCTTGGGAGGTCCTTCACAGCACTCTGTGAGGACACTGGAAGTGCTTAAAGGCTGGAAAATCAGCTTTCGGGAATGGGTTTGAGCAGCTTACGAGACTGGCTGGTTGACTTACAGTTTTTTCAAACCTAGGATTTATTCTCTGGCTTAGTCCCCAAATCCTGCCAGGTCTCTTTCTTTCCTAATCACTCTTTGGAAAACACTGCTCCCACTTACCTCGACCATTTTGTGTTTTCAGGACCTGTGCTATCCCCATCCTGATTTAGGGACCAAGGAAAAATGGGGAGGAAGAGTGGGGAAACATACTGTCAGTAAACAAGCACCCTCATGGACTCTGGAAAATAATTTCTGGTAAGGCTGTAGACATACAGACTGGTCTGGGTTCAAGTCATTCTGACTTGTTCGTAGTGAGGGTCAAACGGAAGCGGAAGCGGGCTTTTAGGTCCAGACCCTTTTCTTCAAAACATCTCAGCTCTGCCCTTTGACAAAGGACACTGACCTAGGAAACCAGAGTTGTAGTCCTGGCTTCACTATTAACCCACAGTATACCTGTGGCCATATTACTTCCCCTCTCTGTCACAATTAGCAATCCTGTGAAGGGAGGCGACAGGCCAGGAGATGAAGCACTCCTTCTGCTGTCTCTTTGCACCAGAATCCCTCTCCATGTATTTCTTAAGGGTACAGTTACATCTCCGGGGGGTCAGGAGCTGGAGAGGTAAATGTGGACCACCCAGTCAAAACCATCCATTCCACAGGAAACGGAGGCTCAGGAAGATTTAGCCACTTGCCCAAAATCACACGGAGGGTGAGAGGCAGGGCTAGGCCTACAAACCGGGTCTTTTCGCTTTGCCACTCAAGCTCCCTAACGCTCTCGCACGCAGGCACAGCTCTTTACATCCCTCTTAATCCTGACGGCTCTCAGAAGATGGGAAACGCTATCGGCCCCATTTCGCAGACGAAGAAGCCGAGACCCACAGTGTTTCAAAGACTTGTCCAAGGCCACACAAGGTTGGGGGCAGTGCTGGGCAGAGGAACAAGGTTCCCTCTCGCCCGTTCTGGGGCCTCACCCTCGAGGAGGCGGCAACGCTGGTGGAAGACGTAGCAGGCCTGGTCCTTGTATAGCGGCTGCTCGTGAATCGGGGGCAAGCGGCGGAACTTCGGGTGCGTCCATCCCGGGTCCCAGGGCGGGAAGACTGGCCGCGCCAGCCCGGGCATGAAGTGCATCTTTCCCGCGTAGGTGATAGGCTCCAGCCCAGGGATCTCGTACACCCTGTCCCGGGGAGGAGGCTCGGGCTTCCGTGTGGAGCGCACTCCCCACTCGTACGCCCCGCGTCTTGGGGCCCCGCAGCCTCCAAGGCCGAGCCGTCCCGGGCGAGCCAGCGCCCGCCTTGCGGGCCCCGACGCCAACGCCATACCGTTCCGGGCTCCTCAAGACCTCCACTTGGACGCCGCCATCTTCCCGCGCGCAAGGCCTGCTGGGAACGAAAGGGGCCGGGCGCCAAGGCTCGTTTGGTGAGTGGCAGTCACTTTGACCAATCACCGCCAGGGCCTCCTTGCCTTGCCCCACCCCGCAGGCCGTTCTCATTTTCTCATTGGTGAGACCCTCTCTGCCTCCCCGGGAGGGAGGGAACGTGAAGGATCCTCGTGTGAGGTGAGGCGCAGGCGTGTAGGTGAGTGGTCGTGTGTAGGGGCTGGGACGGAACTGGGAAAAGAGCACCAGGACTTCAAAGCTGAACTCAGGGCAGCCTTGACTGCTTCCGAGCAGTTGGAGCTCCGGAGAGCACTTCCCTGGGAGCCTCCACGCTCCATGTCGCTCGCTGTGAAAGTAGGGGTAGAAGTGCCTACAGCAGCGCGCCCGGCCCACAGAGGGTGCGCTGCAGGGCTCCTTGCCTCTCCCCCGCTTCTCGCCGCCGCGGGCGCTTTTACCGCCGCCCGTCCCCCGACCCTGAGCGTGGCCCTGTCCACACCGCCCTGCACCCGACCCCTCCTGGTGCACGCCTCGCCCCCAGCGCCCAAAGTGAGTTACTTTCCTCCCTTTTCCACGGGATTTCCCCTTCCGCCCCCTGGAAACAAGGCGAGAGCGGTGGAGGTGTTCCTTGCTCTTTGCTCATCCCGTATTTATCCAGTGCCCTCTGTGTGTTGAGCACGGTGCTGAGCATCGGGTTTGCATTGGTGAATAGAACATGTGCGATGTGGAGCCTACAGTTTAGTGGGAGATACAGACAGAAAGCAAGTGAACATAGTAAATAAAGCCAGTGCGCCGCGCGCGCGGGCGCGCACACACACACACTTCCTATCCCTTTTCCCCAGTTCTCTCTCTCTCCAGCATTCGGTGCTAACATACTCTGTTTTCCATTTCGATCTTGTTTAATGACTCTCCCTCCAACTCGCGGGTAAGCTCCAGGAGTGCAGGCGTGTATGTTTCTTCACTGCTGAATCCCCACCCCTAGAACGGTGGCTGGCCCATCGTGAATATATGTTCATTGAATGAATACATGACAGAAGCCAACAGGGTGCCTGCTAGGGAATGAGAAAGGGGAGGTTCAGGGAGGGCCTCCGAGGGGAAATGACCTTTAAACAAGGCCTGAAGGGTGAGGAGAGTCATCCAGACAGAGGCACCACCTGTGTCAAGTCCTGTCTTAAAGGCAGTGCTTCTTAGACTGAAAAGGTAGAGGCTGAGAGGATGCATGGACCTGGTCGCATGCCTTCATGACTAACATGGCCAGCCTCTCTACCAATTTCCAAGATACGAGGGAAGGTGGGATTATTGAAACATGGAGAAGGTAAACATAAGGCAAAGACTGATATGAATAACCCTCACGCTGTACAGCAGTTTACAATTACAGAGCTCTTTCACTTAACCTCACTTTATCGCTCAAAACTCTTAGGAGTAAGAAATCAGCGTAAAGAGGAGACCAGACCTCATTCACTCCTAGTGCATACCTGGTACATAACACACTATAAAAATGGGTTGAACTGGTGTAACACCATGCTAGGCTGCAAGCTCTGTGCAGGTGGAGCCCGTGTTCTCCTTACCTCTGCTGTATCCCAGCGCCTGGCACTGCGCTAGCTCCCAGGCCCTATTTGTAAACTGAATGAGCACTCTCCACTCATCAGAGCCTTCCGCCTGCCTGGCCTGTGCTTGGTGGTAGAATACAGAAAGAGTTAGACACCACCCTTCCCCTCAAGGGGGTCCCAGCCAGCTAAACTTTCCTGAATTCATAGAACCGGCAGCAGATACGGGTTTTCTGAAGCCAAACCTTTTCCTTTATAAGAGAAAGACTTATTGCACACAGAGGGACTGCCCTTCTAAAACCAATGATAGTAAGTGGTAAGAGAATTTGGACAAGTTCTGATGAGAAAGAGCCTTGGGCACCAGGCAAGAGGAGTGGATTCTATCCAGTAGGCAATGGGGAGCTGTTAAAGGTTGCTAAGCAGGGGACTGGTGTGATCAGAGCTGGTGGCGGGTGTCCTGATGGATGTGTCGGCAGAGACTGGAATCAAATCCTCTGGGCCCGTGGGAGGTTCCAGTGTAAGTGGTCATGGGAAGCAGGAAAAGTAGAAAAGATCTTAAAGATTAGGACTCCTGGGAAATGATTGGTAACCAAGAAAAGGGGTTTATTTCCCTGCCCTCTGACAGAGTTGGTGGTTTGCTCCTCTGCTCTTCCACAGACTTGGCCCACACCTTGATCCTAGCACTTTATGCACAAATGAAATTAGTGGCATTGGGAGGCTCCAGGGTGCCCATAAAATTCAGGGACAGTTTAGCAAGTTGGGCCCCTGCTCTGTGCCAGCCCAGTGCCAAGCACTGGGAATTGGAGATGAAGACATTTGCCCCCCTGCCTTCCAGAAGCATGAAGTCGAGTGAGCATGAGCACCAGCTGGAGGCAGAGGAGGTCCAGGTGAGGATACTAACCTTAGCACTTCTGGCTTCCTGACCTGGGCCTCAGTTTTCTCCTCTGTGAAATGAGGAGGAGCATGGCCTACCTACATCTGGCTGTTGGGAGGATTGAGTGAGGCGCTGCGAAGCACTTGGCATGGTCTCTGGCCCAGTAAGTGACGTGTTCTTATCATGGTTATCATCTGCTTAGCGGATGACTCTCCCGCTAGGCCAAGAGCTCCCCCAGGGCAGGGAAGAGTGTCACTCATCTGTGCATCCCAGTACCTCGTGCTGCAGCCCCTGCCCAGTGTCTGAGGCAGGAATGAATGGGAGGAAATCGAAGGCCGGAGCTCTTAAGAGGTACACTCAGGCGTCGCTTAGCGATGGCAATACGTTCTGAGAAATGCGTCGTTAGGTGGTTTCATCCTTGTGTGAGCATCGCAGAGTGTACTTGCACAAACCTAGATCGGAAGCCTGCTGCACACCTAGGCTATATGATGCTCATCTTATGGGACCGCTGTCTTATATGCGGCCCCTCATTGACCGAAACGTCACGCGGTACATGACTGTAGTTGCATTTTATGGGAATATTTACGTCAAATAATGTTCTGTGACATCAGAATTCCCCTCAGTTCTCTTCTCAGACAAGAGGGAAGGAACACCGTCTTTTCTTTGATTTGCCTGTGAAATTTTAAAAGAATAGTTTGCTTGCAGGTGAGATGATCGTGTCTATATAAACTGTGAAGTTCTACATATGGAGAACCTTGATAAATCCCAAACTGCCCTCACAGAAACATCTCAAAATAAATCGTAGCCATTTAACTTTTCCTCACTGATCTGTCTTTCAGACTGTGCTTACCTAGTAGCCCTGAAACCAAGCTCCTTTCCTTTCTTTCCTTCCTTCCTATATAACACACATACTTTTAAATATCCGCTGTGCTCTTTCATAGAATGACTAAAAGAACAGATCTCTGTCCTCAAGGAGCTTACGGTCTCAAGAAGGAGAAAGACGTGTCATTTCTGGACGGTGTGAAAAGCTCTAAGAGAGAGATTCATTCATCTGGAAGGTTTTGAGCAGCTGTGCTGAGCAGCGCTGGGCCAGTGCAGTGAGCGCTCGCAGGAACAGGTGAACTCAGGCAGGCCTTCACAGCGGCTCCAGCCTATGCCTGTTCTCTTCCTCCACCCTTGGTGTCTTACCAAGGTCTTCATCTCCAGACTCGTGTTCCTATGCCTGTTTCGTCCAGCTGACAACTGGACTTTGCACTTGGATGCCCCGCAGGCACCTCAAACTGAACTTATCATCTTTCCCCCGTTCCTCTCCTCCTTCCCCTAAAACTCAACTTCTCCTCTTTTTTTTTTTTTTGAGGAAGATTAGCCCTGAGCTAACATCTGCTGCCAATCCTCTTTTTTTGCTGAGAAAGACTGGCCCTGAGTTAACACCGTGCCCATCTTCCTCTACTTTATATGTGGGACGCCTACTACAGCATGGCTTGCCAAGTGGCGCATAGGTCTGCACCCGGGATCCGAACTGGCAAACCCTGGGCCGCCGAAGTGGAACATGCGAACTTAAGCGCTGCACCACTGGGCTGGCCCCTCAACTTCTCCTCTTGAGCCCACTCTCCACCCAGGGATCCAAGCCAGACACCTGGATGTCCCGTCAGCCCCTCCGTCCCCCTCACTCCCTCACCTCACATCTAGTCAGTCTCTGTGTCCTATGAATTCCCTCTTCAGGATTTCTCTAGCTGACCTCTGCCGTCTCATCCTCCCTGAAGCTGCGTCGGTCCAGGTCCTTGTCACCTCTCCCCCAGCCCAGCACAAGCTCCTCCTGTGCTCCTGTGCGTGAGGAACCACGTGTTCTGAAGCCAGGCAGACCGGAGTTAGAATCCCAGTGCCACCATTTTAGAAGCTGTGTGACCTTGGGTAAGTTAGGAAATCTCTCCAGACCCAGGTTTCCCCTCCATAAAATGACAGCTCTGGTACCAGCCTCGTTGATTAAACGAGATTAAACGAGACGCAGCAGTTTGGTGGGTGACTCACTGACAACCGTGAGTGACAGAAGCCAGACAGAGGAGGATACATTCATATCACTCTGTTCCTGTAAAAGTAGGAACTGGGCAAAGCTGAACCGTAGCGGTTAAGGTTGCAGACAAAGGTGGCAAAACTGAGGAAAAGCAAGGGAGTGATTACAGCCAAAGTCAGGCTGGTGGAAGGGACACAGACGGGTGGCTTCTGGCACGCTGGCAGATTCTTTTTACTTGATGCGTGGTAGTTACAAAGGTGTTCTTTTATAACATTTTAATTTATTTTTTATAGTTTTTATAATTATTGTACATAAATTTACTTCATGATTTAAAATATCTATTAAATTCTATGAGATTTTCTATGTAAGGTGCATAATCCAGCACTCAGAGCACGGGAAGAGGTCAGAAACCTTGGTGGCCAGTGATGATTGTTGTGTCCTGTCTACCTGCCTCCTCTGCCAGGCAGCAGACGCCAAGCTTGGTTCATCCTGTCCCCAGTGCTCACACAGAGCTTGGCACCTGCAGGCCTCAGGAAGAATGGGAGGAGTACAGGGGACCAGAGTGTAACCACTTGTTTTCCCTCTCCCAGACTGAAAGGGACAGGCCCGGGCCTGGGGCCTCACAGAGCAAGGCCTGCTCTGGGAAGAGCACCCAGCTGTCCCTCCCAGGCTGCCCCAGCCCCACTGACAATGTACGAGAGAGAGGAGGATGACGATGAGGAAGCCTGGCTGCAGCTGCGGCCCGTGGAGCCCTTGCCCTCCCAGTGCTGCGGCGGTGGCTGCTCACCCTGTGTGTTCGACCTCTATCACCGAGATCTGGCGAGATGGGAAGCGGCCCGAGCCAGCAAGGACAGGAGCCTGCTGGGTGGAGAGGAGTCACAGGTGAGGTAGGGCTGCCCTTAGACAAAAGGGCCAGGGTGGCAGTGGCTACCTGGCCTCAGCCCTGTGCAGTGTGCCTCCTTCGGGAGGCTTTTCCTCACTCTGTACAGCAGAGAGAAAAAGTGCTTAGTGGAAGCAGACAGACCCAAGTTCAAAGGCTGGCCTTGAGCTGGGCAAGGGGGGTCCCAGGAGTGAATTGGGTATGGGCATTTTACAGGAGGGAGATCTGTGAGTCTTGGCATTCAGACAAGGCTTCCTGGAGGAGGTGCAGGTGGTTTAAAATGTTAAGGGCAGTGGAAGAAGACTTAGAAGATGTAAATTTGAGGCTCTGCTCTCGGTGTGACCTTGGACAAGTAAGCCTCTACCACTCAGGCCTCAGTTTCCCCACATGTAAAATAAGGATATTGGATCAGATAATCTTAAGATCCCGTTAATTTCTAAATTTTGAAAATCTGGATTTTAGCAGGTTTGAAAGATGAGTAGATCGTTCATACATTGGAGGTGAGTATTCTAGATAGAGGGCGCAGTTTGAGTAAATAAAGACTCCCAGGTAGGAGGCAGCAGGGTATTCTTGGGATGATGGAGAAAAGTCTAGCATCTGATGCATTGGAAATAAAATGAGGCTTGGGAGTCATCCACAGGACCTTTGGGTGTCCACTAGGAGCCTGCACTTTGTCCTGGGGCTTCGGGAAGCTGTGGAAGGTTTAAGAGCAGGGGGACTCAATGTAAAGTACTCTGGCATTCTTAAATCAGAGATGAAAGGGAAATAAGGTGGGACTACCATCTAGTGTACAGAAAATGTACCAGCCGAGACAGCCTGTCCTTGGGGAAAGTGGGGAGGGTGCTTGTGGAGGCTAGCATGTCTCTTGAGCCCCGGCTTCTAGCTGTTGGATCTTTTCCTCTTGCAGAACTGCCCCTCCCACCTGAGCCCAGAGACCTTCTTGGCCTTCCGCATCAGTGCCATGGACAGACTCACTAAGGACACCTACCGTGTCCGGTTTGCACTGCCCCGGAATAGCCAGCTTGGCCTGCGGCCTGGCCAGCACCTCATCCTACGGTACACTCAGGTGGTGGGGGACCGAAGCTTTGCAGCCCTGCCCTGCCATTTGCTGGCTGTGGCTTGGTTGACTCACTTACACCCCCTTAAGCCTCCATTTATCATCCTAAAAATAGGCATAGTAATGTGTGACTCAGAGAGTTCTTGGGATTGAACTAGATAAGGCATTCTCCTAAGAATAATAATAGCAAACACTTTTATAGCAGTTACTATGCAAGACACAGTTCTGTGTGCTTATATATGCATGAGCTCATCTAATCTTCACAAGATCCTGTGGGGTAGGTACCACTATCATACCTGAGAGGAAACTGAAGTCAGAGAGGTTCAGTAACTTGCCCGGGGTCACACAATTAGGAAATATTGGAGCCAGGATTTGAAGGCAAGCAGTTTGGCTCTAGAGCCTGTGGTATTAACCTAATATGATTGATAGAAAGGACATTGTCACTGAGAATAATGGACTTGCTCAGTATTACACAGCTAGTAAATTGTGGAGCCAGGATTCACACCCAGACAGCCTGGCTCCTGAGTTACATTCTTAGGCACTCCTCTGAACTTCCTTCTTCCTCCGAGCCTCCTTTTGCGTTCTCCTCCCACCTTGATCCCCACCCCCGCCTACCCAGGGACAAGACCTTTTGGAACCTCCAGCTGGAAGTATCTGCCAGACATTCAACTCTGTGGGTCCGTGGCTCAGCAGGGAGATCGGAGCTGCAGACGTGGATGTGGGAATCATCGGCATATACCTAGATGGCATTTGGGAGCATGTGTGGGACAGAGAGAGGGAAGGGCAGAGGATGACCCTGGCAACTCTGGCATCCGTATTGGCAAGAGGAGGAGGAGCCAGCAACGGAGACAGAAGGGGCAGCCAGCAGACGAGGAGAACCGAGAGAAAGCTTGTTACTGGTCACACTCTGGCCACTTGCCTTGCACTGACCCCTGGTGTTTGTGCCTAGCTCGATCTGGCCCATGGCCTGGCTGATGAACCATAAAGCTCACTATTTCAGTGGATGGGAGGGGCCACAGGGTAGATCACAGCCCCATGCAACTCTCCGTGCATAAAGCAGGGGTGCCCAGAACTCCCTGCCTCCAGGCTCGCCTTCTCCACCCTCTCTGCCACTCCAGTGACATTCCTAACACACGAGCTGACCCTGTCACTCCCTGTTCCCACACCTTCTGGTGCTCCACGATGCTTCCCCAGTGACACGTTAACCCAGGGCCCCAGCTTCCTCTCCCTCTTCTGTATTTGCCTCTTGTTTCAGGCTCGTGATCCCCTCACCAGTGCCTGACTTGCCTACCTGCGTTGTCCTACCTCTAAGCTTGTGCTAGGCTATTCCCCCAGCCTGGAATTACTCCCCTTCGTGTCCCCATTTGCACCTGTCAGTGGCCTGCTCCTCCTCTAATTCCTAGCTCCAGGAGGCCTCCTGAGAGTCCCCTAACAACAGTGTCACTTTCTCCAGAGCATGTCAGTTTCACCTCTGCTGTAGTGTCATGGTGCTCTTTGTGCCTAAGCCACGCCATATGTTCTGTTTGTTACTTCCTCGTTTGTTTCACAAGCATTTATTGAATATTTCTGTCACTCTCCCACTTTTGATGCACTAGGATGGGGCCTTTTTAATCTTTGCAAACCTCGGAGAAGAGAGGTTTGCACCTTGTAGGACTAGAGAGAGGAATGTTTAGGTGCTCCTGGAAGCTCTGAGTCGTGGTCAGGAAGCTTGTCTAGAGTCAGACAGAACTGTGGGTGCATTCTAGCTGTGTGACCTCAGGCAAATGATTTCCTTTTTCTGAGCTTTGGTTTCCTCATTTGGGTTATTATTTAAATTAAATAAGATAATGCATGTAATATGCTTGGTGCTTAGTAGGCATTTAATACAGCAAGGCTGCTATTATTATTACATATCAGGATTATCATCCTGGCCCCCTTGTTGATGACATTGTGGAGAGGGCTCATGCATGGGGTCAGCTTTGACATAGGTCTCCTTTGAGGATGCTTCCAATTCTGATGCTCCTGGCCTGTGGTAGTAAGTATTTAATAAATGTTGAGCACAGTTGTTTTATCTTTATCGCTCTGTGGTCAGGAAAATCCACAGTGATGTCCTCACAGCAGCTCACATCATCAGGGTACTTTGTGAAGCACATTCCCATCTGTGATCCCAATGGAACCACACAGCAGGGACACACATGGTGGTCTCTGTTTTATAGAAGGGGCAACTGAGGGATTAATGACCAGGTCTCACAGCCAGCACTTGGCAGTGGGGAGCCCCGTTCTTTTCTTTTCTGCTCCACCTTGCCTGCCTCTCAGTGAGGACCACTGAGGATGACCAGACCCAACCTTCATTTTCACCAGCCTGGCACAGAGTAGGTACCTCTAAGAGTTTGTTGAATGACTTGCGGACTGCCTGACTGACTGCTTCTCTTTCCCAGAGGGATAGTAAATGACTTAGAAGTTCAGAGAGCTTATACGCCCATCAGCCCTGCCAACGCAGAAGGATACTTTGAAGTTTTAATCAAGGTGAGCTGACTCACATGGATGCTCTAAGATGCCGTGGACTGGAACCTCCATTTGACGGCTTGGTCAGGCTGGGGCAGTTCCCATTTATGTGGGGAAAGCTGGTGTTGAGGGAAGAGCAGGGATGGTGAAGGAGGCCTTCTCCCGTCTCCTCCTTTCCTGGGGAAGGGAAGGCTGCTGGACCACCAACAGAGGGCATATTCCTGACGGATTTGTGAAAAGAAGGCACAGACTGAGAAAGTAAAGCTGCTCCTTCTCACTTTCTTACCTGTTGGTGGAGAGTGAGCCCTGAGCCAGGAGGAAAGGGGGCATCTACTGTGTGCTGGGCACCGGGGTCCAGAGATGAGTCAGACACGGTGCCTGCCTCAGACAGGGGACCAGACCAGGACAGTGCAGTGTGATAGGCACCGTGACAGGAGACCCCAGCCCAACTCAGGGCAGCTGGGGTGCAGAGAAGGCAAGGGGCCTTCCTCGCAGAAGCTGGGGGGTTGACTGTATGTTCAGGGTAAGCAGTGGGGAACCAGAGGGGCCACCGGGGAAGGCAGCTCTCTGCTGGGAACAGCACCTGCAGTGGCAGAGGAGGCACGAGTCGGGGAACTGTTGGCCGTTTGTCCTGGGTCAGAAGGGGATGTGCAGGAAAAGGTGGGACATGGAGGACCTTGTGGACTGAACTAACCTGAGAGCACCTCTTGGGGAGGTGTGCAGGGGCCGGGGCATTTGAGTTGGGCCTTGAAGAGGGAGTCCAAATTGGCAGTGGTAGAGAATGGCATTCCAGGCCGAGGGGACAGATAATCAAGCAGGGAGGGGTGAGACAGAACAGGGTCTTGTGGGAACTGTTCCCAGTCTGAATGGCAGGAGGAGGGCTGCCTTGTGGGGGCAGCCAGGGTGGGTAGGGAAGTTGGCAGAGATGAGGTGAACGAAGTGGGCTGCATACCAACACCCCAGAGACCCAAGGAGTAGGCACCAAATGTATACGAAGTCATGAAGGTCCAGTCACGTGCAAAAAATGATTAGGTTGAACTAGATGAAGTTGCTGATGTGCTAACATTTTCGACCTACAGAAACAGCAGTTTCCTATGGGTCAACCTAATGCATAGTTCTAGATCATCATTTCCCAAATGGAATCCTAGGGAATGCCAATATTGAAGAGTAGCTTTCACATCCTTTATCTCCCTTGTAGGACAGAAATTATCCCATTTCACTGATAAGCAGACTGAGGCCCCAGCAGGACCCGAGGCTCCACAGCTAGTAAGAAGTGCGGCTGGTGGGTGAGCCCCGGCCTCCTGACTCCACGGCCCCAGCGCTGGCTCCAGCTCCTGCCTTCCCTGTCTGCCCTGCCTGCCTGCAGAGCCCGAGCGTTTGTTCCCTCCCACATCAGCTTGGACTGGATCCCTTCTCCACGCGACTGTTTGTCTGGGAGATTCCACAAATCCTCTCCAAATGGCCTGCTTCCCCAGGCTGCTTGTCCGGGTGTGTTTCTGTTGAAAGGATGAGCCTGGAGACAGTTCTTCAGGGCAGCTGGATCTCTCCCAGCTGCAAGGCTGATTTTCTCCTTCGTTTACCGGAAAGCCTCTCTTTAGAGAGATGCTTAATTATCCCTAAGCCTCTGGCTAGGAAGAACTGGAGATGTCTGCAAATTGGGAAGGCAGACGGCTTTTTGATTTGCCCTCCCATGTAGATGGGAAGGAGGAGCCCCTATTTCTCAGGCACCTTCTGGGCACCAGGCACTGCTTCTGGCCCTTTATTTGCATGTTCTTTCAACCTCATAACCACCCTGCAGAGAAGATCATATTATCCCCATTTTACAGAGAAAGAAACTGAAGCTCAGAGAGAGAATGTCATTGTCACAAGGTTCCCTGAGGTAATATGATCTCAAGTGGAAGAACAGAAGTTCAGTGTCAGTTCGGTTTAACAGTGTGGATTGGGCGTGTTTGCAGTGCCAGGCTCTGTGTGGGTGCTGGAGACACAGAGGAATCCTTCCTTTCCCCTTGAGTTCTATCTGTGCCTTAGGGCTTCTAAGGCACAGCTTGTGCCTCAGGGCTTCTAAGGCACAGCTTGTGCCTCCCACAAGGCTGGGGCTGGAAAGCGGGGTGTGCTCGGAGACACAACCTCCAGCAAGTTAGGAGAAGAACTGTGGCCTCCTTCCCACACCTCTTGCAGGTGAGCTGAAGACTTCCCTTGCTTTATGTGTATGGTGCCTGAGGAAGTCAGGGATGGTGCCAGAGGTGGCTGCAAGAGCTTAAAAGCATACCTGGCAACCAACGCCTGGTCTCGCCTTCAAGCCTGGTTATAATCTCACTCTAAACCCCCTCCCAGTCCCATCTCCCAGTGCTTCCCCTGACCCCACCTGCTGTTGCCAGAACATGACCTGGGCTGTCCTACCCCTGACCATACCATACCTGATGCCCAGAATCCTCTCTGCCCTTCCCAGGTGAATTCGATCTTTCCCAGCCTTTAAGGTCCAGCTCAAATGCTTCCTCCTCCGGGAAGTAGCCTCAATCCCACTCCATTGGAAGTGACTGCACCTCCTCAGGGCTCTCCTGGCACTTTGTCCTCTTGTGGGGTGTCAGGTAGTCTCTACCTTGTGTATGTCTGAGACTTAGGTCCTTTCTAGATTGTGAGCTCCTTAAGGGGAGGACTTGCATCTGGATTAATGAATTCATTCGTTCATGCAGATAATTATTAAGTCCTTCCCACAGTTCAGGCACTGGCTGCCTTCCTGGAGCTTAAAGTCCAGCTGTCTCCCCTGCAGTTGCAGCGCGCCGGCTGGCACAGAGTGGCGAGGCACCAGGAAATGTAGACTGCTCTTCCCCCATGGAACCTTCGTTTTTTTCATCCAGCCAGGAGACAGTATAGGGTCATGCAGAGATGGCAAATGAGTGGCTTGCAAACTGACTCTAGCCTATAAATAGATTTGGTTTTGGCCTGCACAACGTTTTAAAATTTTGAATTAATTGCTGATATTTCAAAAGTGGGAGATTTTTCATAAAAATATGGATTTCCTGCCCCTCTTGGAAAATCAGAAGATCTGGCATCATGGGCCCCACAGACTGTGTGCTGGAATCTGCAGAGTGACTTCCTCCTTTAGAAAGAGTAGTCACTGACCAGTATCCCACAGTCCCCACCACTCACTCCCTGACACTGAGACTGAGTATTAATTGCCATTAGTCATCTCGTACCCAGTTCTTCACTCTGCTTTGTTACCTGTGTGGCCCCTGTAGTTATTTGGGTTTGAGACCTCGGTAGTTAAGGTTGTAGGTCCTATGGATTCTCATCCCAGTCTCACCATTTACCTTCTATGTAAGCTTCTGGGCCTCATCTGAAAATTGGGAAGGACAGTACCAGCTTTGCGGGGCGATGAGGAGGGTTAAATGAGATAACACATGTTGAGCAGTTAGCACACAGGGAGGGCTCCCCATTGATGGCTGATGTGGTTTGTATTGGCGGCATGTGCCTGTCCCAATGAGGTCTCCCTGTGTTTGCTCCCAGTGCTACCAAACTGGCCTGATGTCCCAGTATGTCGAGTCCTGGAGAGCAGGAGACACGGCCTTCTGGCGAGGACCGTTCGGAGGCTTCTTCTATCAACCAAACCAGGTCAGTGCCAGCACACCAAGTCCCCCCAGCTTAGCTTCCAGGACTCTGACTTTCATGATTTAGGCTGTAGGGTCTCACTTTGCTGTTCTTCCTGAGCCCAAACTCAATTGCAAGAGTATCCCTGGGGTTAGACATGGGAGGAGATGGAATAGGCACGAAGAACAAAACTGCCTGCCCGTGCTCCAGAACTATGCATGCCTGGCCATCGCTTAGAAAAACCCGGACTGTGTACATGGTGTTTAGGACCCCTATCCCATCTGACCCTCAGGTATCTTTCCAGGGTCACTTTCCGTTTACAAACAATAGAGACCGCTCCTTAAATATGCCCCAGGGCCCGCTGCCTGGGAGCCCACTGCTGCCGGCCCGAAGGCTCTTCCCCTCATCTTCAGGCTTGTTCACACCCTTCCCTGACCTTCCCGGGAGGAATTAGTGATTAATTTCTCATCAGTTGGTGCATATTTGGAAAGCAGTATGTACGAGGATTCTTAAGAACCTTCAAATCCTTTGGCCCGGTAATTCCACTTCTGGAAGTCTGTCCTATGGAAAGAATCCAAAATACTGACTGTTTTGCACACATTCATTGCAGTCTCATTTATAATAGCAAGAAATTGGAGACAACTGACTATCCAACCACAGGAGACAGTTAAGTACACTGAGTTACAGATGCTTGATAGAATATTAGCCTGAATTTTAAAGTTATGTTTGTAAATGATGCTACATGCTTATGCTATAAGATCACGTGACAAACACTAGGTACAAAACTGAATATCCAGCAAGTTGGGAAATTAAGTTAAAATCACAGAAAAAATATGGGAAAAAAAGCAATAAAATGTTAGTAGCTCTGGGTGGTAGAATTATGGGTGATTTTTATTTTCTTCATTATGCTTTCCAAATTATCCACAATGAACAACTATTACCTTTGTAATGAGGAAAACAAGGCAAAACCAAAACAAGTGGAAAAGAATGAATGAATCATTGTGTTTAGCTTAAAAATAGCTTTTATTGATATCTTTCTTATTACAAATGCAGCTCATGTTCATTACCAAAAAAGTCAGCAGCTATAGAGGCAAAAAGAGGATAATCAAGAGCACCTGCGGGCCATCTACCCATACGTACCGGTCTTACCACCTTGGCGTGTATCCTTCCAAGTCCTCTTTCACGCATGGGGGTATATACAAGCACGCATGCACTCACGTGTGTGGGTATAATAATAATGTCAGGCACGCCCGTGGTACCTCCTGTGTGCCAGGCTCTGATTTTTGCACTTGCCATGAAGTGACTCATTTAATCCTCACAACAGCCCTTAGGAACTGCTACCCCCGTTTTACAGACATGTGGTGTGCACGTGTTAATACTCTTCTACAGCATCCTCCTAGCACTGGCCATGCTGAGCCTTAGATTTTAGCTGAGGTTGTCCCTGTGTCCCCCAGGCCCTTGAGAGCAGGGACTAGGAATTGTCCCTGTTTCCTCCGACCTAGAGGGGACACCTGATGACTATTGTCTTGACCACCTTTTCCAGTGGAACCCCCTGGCACCTACAGATGCTGCTCCTCTGCGTCCACAGAACTCCACTTGAAAGCCCTCGCTCTTCTTATCTGGGGAGGGCCTCGGGCGCGGCTGTGAGGAAAAAGAGATGGTGGCTTGCACATTAAGATTCAGCCGCTGTGGGGCCAGCCCAGTAGCGCAGTGATTAAGTTCGCACGTTCCACTTCGGCGGCCCAGGGTTTGACGGTTCGGATCCTGGTGCAGCCATGGCATCACTTGGCTAGCCGTGCTGTGGCAGGCGTCCCGCATATAAAAAGTAGAGAAGATGGGTACGAATGTGAGCTCAGAGCCACTCTTCCTCAGCAAAAAGAGGAGGATTGGCAGCAGATGTTAGCTCAGGGCTAATCTTCCTCAAAAAAAAAAAAAAAAAGGTTCAGCCGCTGAAACTGTGGTTGAGGCTTGGCTTTCACCCGTGAGGGCGCGGGGTGCTCTGTTCCCCTTCCCGGCCCTGACTTGCCTCTCTGCAGTCATCCTCTGTGCAGGTGGATGCCATGTCAGCCTGCAAACTGGCATATCAGCATCTGTGTGCGTGTGTTCCACACACGTTCCAGGTGTCCCCCCAGGGCCACAGGTGGCCACACGAGCTCACAGTCTGATGGAGAGACAGACACACAAACCTGACAACAACGTAGTGTGACCAGTGTTGTGAGGAGGGGCACAGAGGGCTGTGGGAATGCGAAGGAGGACCCCGCACCCGCCCCAGCGCAGGGAAGGCTCCCCGAAGGAGAGCCCGCACAGCAACGGGGCCGGGAGGAGGAGCTCAGCCGGCTGACGCCCAGGGGCCGTGAGCGCTGAGCAGGGTCAGAGGCCGGGCCGGCAGTAGGGCTCTGGGGGGGAGGCCTCCAGTTGTCTGAAGGCCTGGGCTCCTCACCGGGCACCTGGTGCCACCTCGTTTAATCCTCACGCAGTTCTGAGACAGCTGCTGTTGTGGGGAGGTGCTCTTATTTTTTTACCAGTGAGGAAACCAAGGCTCAGGGAGATGAAAGAACTTGCCCAGATCATACAACTGGGGATTTACACCCAGATTTGTCTGACTCCTGATACTCCAGGAAGTGTTTCATGCAGTAGAGTGGTGTGCAGTGGCTGTCAGTAAAGAGACTGAAAACTCACACTGCATTCCCAGAGGCCTAATCTCTGGAATGATGGAGGTGACTACCTCACTGCATAGTGAGACACTGACCTTAAAGAGGGCTGCCCCTCTTTCGGAGTCCTAGAGCCAGGAGATGGGTTCAGTGAGGGGGAGTCGGTGGAACCGGGCCTTCTTGGGGTGGATCACTTTGATCGCATGGCTTTTCTGTGCCAGCCCTGTGCTAGGCGCTGATGGATGGTATCTCCTTTAGTCTGGAGAAGGGCAGGCTCAGGGGTCCGAGCCAGGGCCCTCAGGTCTATGCAGCGCTGCCCTGGAGCACAGGGAGCAGAGGGCAGGCTGGGATGGGATGGTGGGCAAGCCTTTGGTGGGAGCAGGTTCCAGCTCAGGGTGAGGTGGGAAGACCTCCCTGGCAGGGCCAGTCAGCCTGTAATAGAGCAGACTGCCTTGGGAGGGAGTAGGCTACCCGTCAGCAGAAATATGTAAGCAGAGTCCGGTGGTGATGCTTTAGAAGGCAACCAAGACACTCGTAGGATGGGCTACACCATTATGTTCCCTTTTAGCCCTCAGATCCCATGCTTTCTGTTACGTAGACCTCACAAGCTGTAACCTTTCACAAGCAAAGATGGCTTCCTGCAGGAGGTAGAGGGGAACTCAGATGGGGGACAGCAGGAAGGGCAGTGCCATCCAGTTCAAGCAGGCCCAAGAAAAGACCCCCTGTCCTGTTCCCCAGTATGGTGAGCTCCTCATGCTGGCTGCGGGCACTGGCCTGGCCCCCATGGTGCCCATCCTACAGAGCATCACAGACAATGCGGACGATGAGACCTTTGTCACCCTGGTTGGCTGCTTCAAGACCTTTGAGGGCATCTACCTGAAAACTTTTCTCCAGGAGCAGGCCCGCTTCTGGAACGTCCGCACCTTCTTTGTGCTCAGCCAGGTGAGCCCAGGGTGGTGCCTTCCTTCCCTGATTGAGACTCTGCTGTCCCCTGCACCTGTCCTCGTGCCTGCTGTGGCCTCTCTGCCCCAGGCCTTAATAATAATCCCTGCCACTGGTGGAACCGCCACTGTGTGCCTGGCTAGGAGGGCGGGTATTGTCACGTTCACTATGCAGATGAGGAAACTGCCCCTCAGAGAGGCAAAGGTGCCAGCCTGTGCCCTGCTGCCAGATGGCTGAACCCAGGATTTGAGCCAGGCTGTCTGATTGCAGACCACCCCCCCCCGTCACCCCGACTCAGTGTGCCTTGCTGCCTGCCCTCCACCCTCTGGCTTCATCAGATCTGTGGGCCAGCGGCCCGGCTGTGGAGCCAGTGGGCCCAGCCATAGATGTCCTATAGCTGTGGTGAACTCGAGGCAGGGATCCGTGTCTGATCGAACACCACTCAGTGCTCAGGACAGTGCCAGGCCCAGAGGAGGTGCTCACTCGATCGACTGGGGAGTGAACTGGACCCGAGGTCACTGCAGCTGTCAGGGGCCCTACCACATCGCACATCTCATTGTCCCTGCGTGGGAGGAAGGCTGCGCACGGACTCACCAGGCAGCACATGCTCTAGCTGAAGCAACTGCCTCCTGCCCCCTCTCCCCCTGATTCCCCGTCCCCTCCAGTCACTCAGGTCAGCCTTCCCAGGCAGTCCCCTCTGGGAGGCCCTCAGCTGTCTCGCTCACCTGCCTTCCCTGGTCTCCAGCTGTGTTTCTCTTTCCTACGCCCCCTGGGTAGAGGTCTCCTGCTGGGGCCTCCCCTCCGTCCTCGTGCTCAGGGACAGCCTCATTGCCCTGTACTCTGGAGCGCCCTTCTCATCAATGTCCTCTTTGAGGGAGCTTTAGAGTGTCCCTAAACACTCAGGCGATTGTGGACATCGTGGCTGGGGGCAGCTGTCAGGAAACTGGGTTTCCCCTCCTAATGCCAGAGGTCCTGGGATCTCAGAGGTCCCGAGGCCAGGCTCTGTGGGCCCGTCAGACGCTCGGTGGCAGGAACATCAAGAGGGTCATGCTTGGTGAACGTTAGCGGCAGCAGCCCAAGACCGGGGAATGAAGCAGAGGCTAGTGTGCAGCCCAGGGGGTGGGTGAGGGGAGGGCAGTGCTGCTGGCTGCACACTCAGCTGCCCAGAGCCTGCTCAGGGAAGTGGGAAGAGGGGCAGGAAGGCAGGAGGATGACCTGCTCCCTGCCCTCTGGACGCTTACCTGTATGTGGGGTGGTAGCCACAGGGACGGCTGAAGGCAGTGCCCTTCACTGAGCACGTTCTCTGTGCCTGGCACTGTTCTGAGCACTTCGTGTGTGTTAACTCATTTACTCCCCACCACAATCTTAGGAGGTTGGTACTGCCATCATACCCATGTTACAGATGTGGAAACTGAGGCACAGAGAGCTTAAGAACCTTGCCCAAGGTAACACAGCGAGTTGGTGGATGAGGCTTGGGACTTGGTCTGTGTGGAGCAGCTCCATGTCCCGAGAGCCTAGCACAGTGCCAGGCACGGAGGGACCCTCAGAAAATCTGCTGAAGTCAGCCAGTTAATTGAAACCTTAAAACAAGTGAACAAATGAGATATGCTCTGAGAGTGATGGTGATGGATAACCTTGGAGAGGTTCTGGGAGACCACGGTCGGGGAGAAAACGTTCCCCCCAGAGTGGCAGGTGCAGCGGCCCCTGGGAGGGTGGACACGGCAGGCCCGTGTTCTGGTCCTGCACTGCCTTGTTGCATGTCCCGAGGAACACCCCTCCTCCTCTCTGTGCCCACCTGTTGTAGAGCTTCCCCCGGCCCCCAGGCTTGTGAGGGTGCTCCGAGTCCCAGCGTGCGCAAGTGCCTGGCTCATGGGGTTAGGTGAAGTTTGGCTGCCCGCCCCCTCTGCCTCAGGGTCCTCATTTGGCAGAGAAGAGCTGGCTGCATGAACTCCAAGGCCCCGCCAGTAGTCACCCCACTGTTTCTCATCATCCCAGGAGAGCTCCCCGGAGCAGCTTCCCTGGAGTTACCGGGAGAAGACCCGCTTTGGCCGCCTGGCTCAGGACCTGATTGAAGAGCTGGTCGGCTCCTGTCGCAGAAAGCCGTTTGCATTGGTCTGTGGCTCGGCCGAGTTTACCAAGGACATGGCCAGCTGCTTGCTGCGTGCCGGCCTGGCTGAGGACTCCTACTTCCTCTTCTAGGTCTGGCCTCCCTTCCAAAGCCACTGGGACACAGGAAGTTGCACAGACTGGAATCAGAAGAGGTGGATGGAAGACTGCCCTAACTCGCCAGGTGACCTTGGTCGAATGACTTCACCTCTGCACACCTCCCTTTTGCATCTACCCCTCGAGGTTACTGACTCCCTCAGGCTGGCATCTTGTTGTGTGGAGGGAGGATGGGGCTGCAGAGCCCCAGGGAGGAGAGTAAGCAGCCCAGCAGTCAGGGAGGACTCCCTGGAGGAAGCCAGGTCCAGGCTGAGCCTCAGGATGAATAAGAGTTGGCAGGAGATGGGGCGGGGGGAGCTTTCCTGCTTCCTCAGATTAGAGGGCTTGTGAGGGGCTCCTGTAGGACCCTGCCCTGTCCTGCCTGTTCCAAAGCATGGTTCCCTGGAGACTGTGTGTCCCTGCCTCAGGGCCGCCTCAGAGGAGGTGCTCGCTGAGTGTTTAGGAAATGAGCATAGAGGCTGAGAGCTCTTTGGAGGAGGAACTTGCCTTATGTTCTAGTGCTGTGAGCCTGACACAACAGAAGTCGTGGGGCCTGTGACCTGACCGAGGTGTTCTCGGAGTGAGGCAGGGCCCCGGATTACCTTTATTTTGGATTGGCCCCAGGGCTTTCCTGCTGCGGATGGCTTTGCTCTCCGTCTCCCTTCCCTGGCTCCAGAGCCCAGCCCAGAGTCCTTTCTCCAGTGAAAGAGGCACGGAAGCAAACTGCCCTCCCTCCTGCAGGCAGCCAGCCCAGCCCGCCTTCAGCTCCTGCGCCCTGGCGACGGTTGCCATGGAGATCTAAAGATAGAGCAGGAGTCTGGAGACCTGGGTCCTCTCCCTGCTCTGCCCACTGAGGGCGGCTGATTCCCATCCACCCACTCCTCCCCTCCACCCCGCCCCCTCCATCCAGCATGGGGCATGCCCTCCCCTGGGAACCTGGCTCCAGCAGCGGCTGCAGTTAATGAATTCTGCTTTTCGCAGCCTGGCCTGCAGTGTGCGGCACCAGCTCAGGCTGGCTTCCGGCAGTCCCAGAACTGGAATCTCAGAATCAGAGAACCGTGGAATCGTAGAGTGAGAATTTTACAGTCATAGAACCACGATCCCCATCAGAGATTAAATTCGGGCCTCCAAAAAGCATCCAGTCTCCCAGGCTGTGTCATTATATCCAGGGGGAAACCAAGGCCAGTGAGGCTACATGACCTGCCCAAGGTAAAATAGTTCATGGCAAGGCCGGCTCTAGAAGCCAGGTCTCCCAGTGTCAGCCCTGTGCTCAGAGTTCTGGGCTCCCAGGAGACCAGGGTTCCTGGCATGGCAGCAGTGAAGGGACGGCCAGATGGGATTTCCAAGCCCTCCTTCAATCAGAGCAGTTCTGTTTTTTGTTTTTTTTTAAAGTAAGAGACTTTATTTTTATTTTTTTGGTGAGGAAGATTGGCCCTGAGTTAACATCTGTGCCAATCCTCCTCTACTGTATATGTGGGACGCCTGCCACAGCATGGCTTGATGAGTGGGTTGTAGGTCTGCACCTGGGATATGAACCCCGAGCTGCCAAAGCAGAGCACTCGAACTTACCCACTACGCCACCAGGCTGGCCCCAGAGCAGTTCTGTTTTCATCCCATTTATATCTTGGGTCTTGGAGTCATTTTCATTTGTGAAAAAGAGTTTTCCTACACTGCCCAAAAAGTTACAACAAATCTCCTTGCTGTGCTCTGTTCAATAACTACTCATGACAAGCCGTTGGGGGTTGGTGCCAAAGGTTTCCAGCCCAGTTCCACAGGCGGAATTCCACGGTACGTAGCTGTGGGGAATACCGCATGCACCTTCACCAAGAACCAGACATGTGAGCATATTAAAGGCTCTGAAAAGGCAGGTGGAAAAGAAACTTTTTTTCATTTTGTTTAACCCAGTTTCCCGAGCTTGTTTGACTGGAGGACATTTTTACCCTCTAGAATCTTTTGAGACCAGTGTTGCGTGGAATACGCTTTGGGAACGCTGGTCTGTGGCTCAGCCTCTTCAGCACAGTGTAACGCGTGGGAGGCCCCGCACTCCGCGTCAGAGTCCCAGGCAGGATCGGGGGTCTCTTACTGCCTCACCTGTGACGTGGGCAAGACCCTTTTCCTCTCTCAGGGCCTCTGAACTCTGCGCACCTTCCTCTGCCCTTTCCTCTCCCTCGGCACATCCTGTTGGTTCTACTCGGGTACTCCTGGAGGGCCTGTTCCGAGCCAGGCTCTGTTCTAGGCACCAAGGAAACACAATGAACAAGGCAGGTGCAGTTCTAGTAAACTCCATAGGGGAGCTTCCAGCCGACAAGGAGGGCAGAAATTAACCCTGTGATTCTGAAAGGGGTGAGTGTCCTGAAAGGGGAAGTGCGGAGCGCTGGAGAGGGGCTGAGGGCCGGGCCACGCTACTCACTGAGTCAGGGGTGGGGGTCTGGGGCAGTTCTGGTATCTGTCTTTGTCCCGTTTTAGATATTCGATGTCTGGATATTAGACCAGGCCACGCAGTGATAACCAGCAGCCCCTCCTGTCCTAGAATGCGTCTGCCTCTCCTTCCCCTGCTCCCTGTGGGGTCTGTGCAGTCTGGATGCTGGGGGGGTCTCTTATCATGGCACAGCGGGGAGGACCCAGCCATGCCCTTGACACCGAGATGCCTAAAGGGCTCATATCACCCGGAAACTTGGGAGCTCGTGTTGGGTCCTCTGCCTCCCAAGAAGATAAGGGAGCCCGGGAGGAGGCCTGGCTGGGATGCATGAGGATGGAGCTCTGTGAACTGGGGGTGAGGTGCCCAGCAGCTGGCCCCTCCCATCTCTCCTGATGATGCCCCAGCCATGTGTCGCGGGAGGTGTGCTGTCAGAAACCACGGCTGCCTTAGTTCAGTCCTCCCCGTGTTTGGCCTGCACCACCTCGGCATTCCCCTCATTGGTCTCGGGTCTCCAGCCTCTCCTCCCACACCCCCTTCCCTACTGCAGCCGGACCAATTTTTTTAAATTGTGGTAATAACATGAGATCTACCCTCTTAACAAATTTTTAAGTGTACAATACATTGTTATTGACTGTAGGTACAATGTTCAGTACAGCAGATCTCCAGAGCTTGTTCAGGCCGCTTTTTCTAACTTGCAGATCTGGCTGTCACTCCCTTTCTTAAAATCCTTCAATGGCTCCCTCTTGCCCTCAGCTCTGTTTGCCTCTGCAGACTTTATGTTACTGCCCTCTTGCCCCCAACTCTTTCTCCCAAGCGTGTTCCTTTGTGTCGGTCAGTCCCTTCACATCTGCTGCCCCTCTGCCTGGGCCAGCCTCCCACCCACCATCCTCCGCTGGCCTTTGCTTCCTTGTCTTTCTAGGGCGTAGCTCAGCGGCCCCTCCTTGCTGGCCTCTGCCACCCCAGGCTAGATTAGTGGGCAGATTCTTGTGCATTCTTCTGTGGCTGCACCTCTCAGACCATCTCATTTGCATGTGAGCACATCCCGGGCCCACAATGGGGCCTGTTCGTTGTGTCCCCAGCGTGGGAGGGTACTCAGCACGTCCTGAATGTCACATACCTGAATAATAAACAACTAAGAATCACGGAGCACTTTACAGGTTGCAAAATGCTCTTCAGCTGCTTTGAAGCACATAACTGTCACCAAAATGCATTCTATTTTATTACCCCGACTTACTGATGAGGAAACTAAGCTTCCGAGACATTGAGCAATTCTCCCAGGTCATGTAGGGGTACACAGATTCCAACATGCTGCAATTGTGATGAAGGTCGTATGTGACACATGCGTGCACCAGATGTGTATGAAGATTTTCATTGCTGCACTGTTTGAAACAGCAGAGATTAAAAACTACCTACACGTCCATCGATAAGAGAATAGAGAAATAAACGTTCTATATTCATACAGTGGAATACCATACGGCAGTTAAAATGGATGAACCAGATCTACGTGTCAGTATAGACTAAATCCAAAAAAGATGATAATTGAGTGAAAAGCAAATTGTAAAAGGAAAGGTACAGTGAGCTATCAATATTTGGAAAGTTTAAAAACACAAAATAATGCCACATGCTCAGGAAGGAAGTACACAAACTTCAAGGACAGTGGTGACCTTTGGGGATAGAGGAAAAGGAAGAAGATGGGGTGGGGTGGTGGGCTTTTTTATCTGTGTCACTTTATTATAAAAACATTTGATATGAATATGGCAAAATCTGAACATCCCTGATGTCTGCTTTGTTATGTTCTACCGTTTTTGTGTTTGAAATAATTCCATAAAGTTTTTTTTAAAAAAGATTAGATATGCCTGGTCAGTGCACTTTAGAAACTAGAGGTGTAAAAACATTCATTCCCTCTCTCCCACCTCAGGATAGCTGTGCTCTTTGATGCCTCCAAGCTTTTCCATTTGAAACTGTCGTCACGTGCTGTGTAATGACATTTTGGTCAACGATGGACTGCATCTATGATGGTGATCCCATAAGATTAGTACCACACGGGTTAGGTGTGCAGCCTACTGTACCGCAGAGGTTTGCATAAGGACACTCTAGGATGTTAACACAACGACGAAATTGCCTAAGGATGCGTTTCTGAGAACGTGTCCCCCGTCATTAAGCGACATGTTACTGTGTTGTGAGCACCTACTGTGTGCCCTGGTCTAGATAAAACTGAGGAGTATAAACAGTGTGAGCACTCAGCTTACGTGTTCTTCCCTCTGCTTGTCCCCTTTCTTTTCCTCATAGACTCAAACCAGAATGACTTTCCAGTCACCACAGTTTGGACTCTTTTTGATTTTATTTTGTTTTCCTTTTTAAATGAGGGAGGCCTGGGTTCGGATCTCTTACGGATTCTATAAGTATCCAAGGAAAGTAACCTGACATCTCTGAACCTCAGTTTACTCATCTATAAAATGGGGGTGGTAGCACTGTCTCCTGGGGATGTGGAGGCTGGCCCCGAATAGGGGTAAGAGCCCCTCCTCCTTTCTCTCCTCTCTCCAGTGCCCCAGCAGTGCCTGGCTCACTGCTGGCCTCTGAGCACAGCACGTGTTCTCAAACTTTCACTATCAGAGCTCTCCTTTTTATTATTTTTCCTATGCTTTGGAAGATTTTGATCCCAAATTGCATGTATTAAGTCATTATTAATTTATCTCACATTTCTTATTAATCAAAGACATAGATAGCTGCCCCTCAGAGCTTCTGATCTGTGTGACCAGCTGGGAGCTGCACGTGGTTGACATAATTCCAGCCAGAGGCAAAGGAACTCCGCAATGTGTGTGGTCTGGGTGGCCTGAGAAGGTCTAAATGTAGATGCATCGTCCTCCTTTTCTTTTCATCGGCCATGAGCCTTGCCTGGGTGGGGGCTGCTTTCACAGTCACTCACTGATGGGCCAGAGGCTGAGTTTTCAGTGCCAGGCTCTAGCAAGGGTCCCCGTGCGGGTCCCAGACTCCTCCTCCCACAGAACTCACTCCAAATAGATGGCATGCACCAGCACCACGCAGAAGAGCGTGGGGTTCACCTAGTGGGACGTGGCAGAGCTGTCTTCATGCGGGTCCCACAGGCTCTGGCTGGAGATTGCCATGTTGTCCTACCCCTCGCTCCTGATGCTGACAGAGCACACTAGCTTGTAGCCGGGCCGGGTGACAGCCGTGACGAGGTCCCAGGTCGCGGTGCTCAGCACCACTGCCAGGTGAGAGGGCAGGCCACATTGGCAAGCTTGGAGGGCAGGTGAGCCTCCATCAGCTCTTCCTCCCACACTCAGGGGAACTTCAACTCTGGCCTGGCCGACCGCAAGGGAACCCAGAAGGAGGAGAGGAGGGAGGTGATGGTGGGAGAACATGGAATTTGGGTTTGAAGCCCATTATGTTGAACATAGACCCCTGAGTTGGAGCCTACAGTTTGGAATAGTGGGATGGAAAATGGAACACAGAACCTGGAACACAAGAAAATAACTTTGTCTTCTGCTGTGCAGAGATTAACCTGGCTTCCAAGTGGCTCAGCCTATATGTGCCCTGGGGCCCATGGCCCTGACTCCCCTCGCTCTCCCTGCACCCCTAGGCCACTGGCCCCCACCTGCTCCTGGATGATGCTGACGGGGCCGTGGTGAGTCAGCTGGGGCTGAGACAGTGTTCTCAAGGATGTGCGCTTCTGCAAGTGAAGATGAGCGTGGAGGTAGACAGCACTGTGAACGTCTCCTGAGTGCCGGGTCTTAGTCGTCCGTTCGAGGCTGGGTTTGCCCCAAAGCAGACTCTGAGCGAGGATCTCAGTGCAAGACGCGTATTTGGGAGGCGAATCAGGGAAGCGTGGTCAGTGAGTCGGGGAGGAAAGCCAACAAGGGGCGTGCTGCTGGGCAGGTTCCCCGGGAGCAGCTGGAGCTCTCCGGCCATCAGACCGCCGAGGCATGAGGTGGCCAGGCATTTGTCCACCAGCACCGGTCACCCCTCAGGGGCTGAGCTTGCTCCCCAGCCCTAAATCCCTGCACTCCGTGTTCTCCGGGGGGTGGGCTCAGCACCTGCAGCAGAGAAGCCCTGAGGCGGGAGACGCAGGAGCCGGGTGCTAGAGGGCCTTCCTGCAGGTTCTCTGGTGGGCAGGGTGAGGGAGGCCCCAGCAGAGTCCGCTACGCTACCTCGCTTAATTCTCACCGTCTTTAGAGAGCAGTAGCTTCCCCATTTTGTAGGCAGAGAAACGGATGCCTGAGAGAGAGCAGCCAGGGGAGAAAGCGGTGTCCTTGCTTGAGCACGGAGCTCCTGGGTCACCTCCCCCCACCGCCCCGTCGAGTGCCCTGGCCAGCCAGCAAGTGCTGAGGCAGCATCTGTGGGGTGAGCAGATGAGCTGGTTGGAGCCAAGTGCCTGTGGGTTCCTGCTCTTCTGTAAACGCAGACGGGACTTCCTTTCCTTCCAGGGCTGCTGGGGGCCATGAAGGGGATTGTGTAGGGAAAGGGCCCAGCGCTGCGCCTGGCCCCAGGGGGTCTCAGTGAGCCGGAATTCCCTTTCTGTCCCCTCCAGGGGCAGCAGGAGTCTCTGTCAAGAAGTGACAACCCTCAGAGAGCTGCCCCCGAACCTCCAGAATGTCTCCACTGGCTCCAGCTGGCCAGCCCTGAAGCCTGTCCAAGTCTCCCCGTGTTAACAGAACAGAGCGACAGCCTGCCTCCCCTCACGGCTGCAGAGGAGCGCCCAGCCATCGCAGCCTCTGGCTCCCTGGAATGCCGCCCCCTGCCTCCCTCCCCTCGCCCTCCACCCACTGCCGTCCTGCACCCAGCACGTGCTCTCCATAAGTCCCTGGTGTACAGAGGTCATTTTTCAGCAGCGTTGGATGCCGTTGTCAATTCCCTCCTTTCGGAGCCTCAGTTTCCTCAATGGCATAATTCCTACCTCACTAGATTACCCTGAGGACTAAGTAACTCCTTCATTCATGTTTTCGGCAAACATTTCTGAACACCCGCTTGTGTGCAGGCTTTCTGCTGGGCTCTTGAGGACCCTGACTTTGGAGATGGCCACAGTCTCCCGGGGGCCACAGATGCTGGTATAAACAATGTGAAGAGCCTGGCACTCTGCCTGTGACATAGTAGACACTCAGTGTGTGTGGGGCTCTGTCGTGTCTTTCTGCCCCCTCTGGGCCTCAGTTTCCATAGCCAGAAATGGATAGGAAGAGGGGGTTGGACTTGCTCTCTGAAGTCCCCTCCAGCCCTGGTGGCCCAAGGCCCTGGGCCCCACTTCTCAGGCTGCCTCGTGTGTCCCCTACCCCCAGCCCGTCCCTCTCACCTTGAGCTCCCAGGTGAGCCTGTGAGCAGGGAGGAGGCTGCCGAGGCCAAGCATGGCAGCTTCTACTTCTGGACTCTCTGAAGCTTGGCTGCTCCCTTCTTAACGGGGGACCTGATGAGGGAGCACTGCTCCCCTGCCCAGGATGGGCTGTGGCCTGAGAGGAACATAGGTGGGCAGGTTGGAGGCAGGAGGGACCTGGCTTCTCAAGGAGGAAGGCTGCAGGGTGCTTGGCCCACTCAGCCACTCCAGGCATCCCCAACCCTCGGCCCCAGTCGCGCCCAGTGCCGACCTCCTCTTCCTCCCTACACATGGTCTCGGCAAGGGTAGAACCAGTGTCGGGGTGGGAAGGCAGGCCTCTGAGCTGGTCAGGCGTAGGTTCAAGTGTCTGCTCTGTGCACGAGCAGCTGTGTGATCTCGGGCAAATCACCTCACTTCTCTGAACACCACTTTCCTCCTCCCTAAGCTGGGGACACTTCTATTCCATCTCTCAACAGATATCCCCAAGTGCTTAATCTATGCTGTGGACTGAAAGACAGCGGCAACAGCGTGCAGACCCCTGCTGTCCCAGTAGTGGCGTGCTGGGGGAGACAGATGGCTGACAGCCAGGGCCTCACAGGGCAGTCCTGATCCAGGGCTGTTTGGAAATGTTGGGGACACTAACACCTCCTCACAGAGCTGCGAGGCTCGAGTGGGATAAGGTGCACAAGGTAGCACGCGTTGGCCTGGCAGATGGTGGGTGCTCAATCAGTGCTTGTTGGATAAATGAACCAATAAAAGCACTTCTCTCTGAGCCCTGATTACCAGTGAAATGGAGCTGAGGGTCCTTTCCTTGGAAAGTTGTTATAAAGGTTTCTAACTTTGTTTAAATTAATGAATTTAAATTAATAAATAGAGCTTACTACATGCCATGTACTCTTCTCCTAAACCCTTTGCAAGTTTTAACTCATTATTCTCATTTTACAGATGAGGAGACTGAGGCACAGAGGGTAAGGTTAAGGAACCTGCCCAAGGTCCCATAGCTCGGATGTGGCTGGATATGAATGTGCCTGGCAAACAGTAGGAGCTCAATAGTTGCTTTATTGTGGGGCAGGGAGGTTTTAGGCTTGGTATCCAGTGCAAGCTGGGTGGTCAGGAAGGCTCCCATGCTGAGCTGTTCTCGGTACCTGAGCTCTGGGTGTGAATGAGTAGCTGAGGGGAGTTGGTGAGGAGTGGAGGGTGGTGGGAAGGATGAGAAGGGATGAGGACAAGGGGGCCAGGGGTGTAAGTGGCAGCAGTAAAACACTTCAGACAACACCCTGGAGTCATAATCCCGGAGCAGCCACTCCGGCAGCCTCTCCTGAGTCAGGGAAGGGTGCCAGGGCAGGATCCCATAGTAACACTGAACTTCCTCTAGCGCGCCTTGGCTTGTTAAAGGGCCCAGCCAGCTCTGGCCGCAGAACGGGCCATCAAAGGGGAGGGGAGGGGAGATGCTGGGCCAGCGGGAGGTTTCTTCTGTGAGCCTCCCTAGCCCTCTGCCTCCAGGCCCCTTGAACCGTCTTCCA